TACAAATTTTTTTTTGGTAAAATAAAACTAATTGAAATGTAAACAAATTATGAGCTTCAATATCAAAAAAAAAAAAAAAAAAAAAAAAAAAAGCAAATAAAAACGGAACAAACAAAATCTCAATCAAACTTCATACTTAAGACTTCTGCTAAATCTGGTTTTCTGGCAGGCCAACTCGCCTGCAGCAGTATAATAAATACATTGCTTCAGTTGGCATTAAATTTCGAGTCACTTAGCTGCCGCACCACATTGCGCTGTCAATCCACAGGCACTTTTTCCAACGTGCACCGGCAGAAACCACCGCAGCACGACCACACTCAGGTGAGTGAGTCAACTGAACCATTGGCCAACAGCTAAAAGCCCGCAGAGTTGGACAACAACAACAACAACAGCAACAACAACAACATATCAAATGCTATGTGCAGACCTTAACCCCAAGCCCTGAGCCCAAGCCCAAATCCCGACATTGTCTTTAGCTTTTTGTAAGTTCAGCTCTTTAGTAAAAATTCCAGTTAATCTGACTTGGACAAAAACAAAAACAGAAAAGAAACGAAGCAAATGAAGAGCGGCAGCGGGAGCTAAAAAAAACATATACATATATACATATATGTATGTATGTGTGTTTGTATATATGYATATATTGTTTTGTTTATCTCAACGTGCTCATCACGCATCGTTTTGTGGCTTTACTTTAGTGCCGCCATAAAGGGTTAATGTTAATGATGCCTTTGTGGTGTCCGTCCGTCTCCCCGTCTCTCCGTCCATCCATCCATCCATCTGTCTGTCTGTCTGTCTATCTGTCCATTTGTCTCCCTGGCAGCCAGCCCTGCACTTGAGTGTTTTTTAAGTGCATGTCTATAAACGCAGACGCAGCGAATTATTACTGAAAGCAAACGCACTGAATCTGAAGCTGAATCAAAATCAGAATCGGAGTCTGTGGCAAGGAGTACCACACATACATACACATAAGCAGTGCTGTTTGCATTGATTTTGCCGTAACTCACGTGGTAATTGACATGTTTATCGCTTGAATGAGTGCTTTACTTTATAGAGATATACGTACATATATAGACCATATAGTTTGAGCACTGATATCCTATACTAATTATACAGCTCCTCAGCTGATGCTGATGCTGATGGTGATGCTGATGGTGTCATCAATCATTTGCAATGAGCCAACGCAACGCAGGCGATTGCAAAACTTCCGCCCCAAAACTCTTGACCCGCATTGCCTCACACTTCCCCCGGACTCGCAATCGCCGGCCGTCGGCCATAAAACTTCAATTCACAAGAAAAATGCGTCAATAAAAAGTAAACAAAAAATGTAAAAAAAAAAAACGAGGAAAACCTCAAACTAACAGAAAGAAATCACTAAACTCGTCTAGCCAGCTGGCAAATGCATTCATTTCATTTGATTTCATTTAAGTTTAGTTTAGTTCAGTTCCCTTTGGTTTCTTTGCTGCTGCTGCCCTTTGTGTGAACCGCCTGGATAACCGGTTTGCGGTTTGCATTGAAATTGCATTTAATTAGTTTAGTTGTGGTGGGAGGGAAGGGGGTAGGCAGCCAAAGAGATAGCTATTAAACGGTTGCTCGTGCTCTATTGCATATTCATGAAATGAGTCCCATAACCCAATATCCGATATCTCTCAAAGCGCGCTAGAGTATAAATATATATATAAATATATGTATATATGTATGTATTTCTCTCGCTCTGATATGCAAAAACTTTAGTTTTTATTTGTTTGGTATTTTCATGATGGGCGACAACTGTTTGTGTCATAACATAAATTTGTTTGGCTTTTGTTTGTGTTTGGTTTTGTTTTAGTTTTCGATTTGACGCTTCTCAGATTTTGGAATTTCGATTTTATAGACTCTTTGTCTGTCTTATCGCACTAATGAAGTTGTCTACTAAAGCTTAGCAATTAAACGAACACGCTTCAGAGTTCATAATCATCTGGGTAGTCAGAGAAAGACAGAGAGAGAGGGATCAAAGGAAAGAGAGAGAGAGAGGGCAATTCCGGCAGCCGAGGTTTAAGTGCGTGTCAAGCTGAGAAACTTCTCCCAATTGGGCAATAAAAGAACAGTTAAAGAGGCATTGCTTAAGCGAAGCAGAGTTTCATAAACGAGACAAAATTGAAGGAAAAAGACGAAAATAATAATGTAGAATATAATATTGTATTTAATAATAATAATGAGAAAATTCGTTCTAGAAAGGCTCAGATTCATTCCAGACAACAAACTCTTTCAATTCTAAAGCAATATTTTAATATTTGTTTATACTGTAATATTTTATTTTTATAAATATTAATATCCATATTCAGTAATATTATTATTTTATTACATATATTTCAATTCA